TTTTTTTTTTGCTTTTTTTTTTTTTTTTTTTAATCCATCTCAAGGATCATAGACATGAATCACAAGCGATCATAGACATGAATCACAAGTTACTATGAACAGAATACCAAAGGTAGGAGATGACGGTAGGACGCACAGTCTCCATTTCTTGCTAGAAATTCTTTCCTTTCTAGGAAGTATTTCCCCACATAGACAGTTTTAGCCTCTCTCAAAAAAGCGGTAAAGGTATATTACTATATTCTATTTCCTAATGTAGAAAAAAACTCAATCTGTCGATAAACAAACAAACTCCATCTGTTCATAAACATTTTGTCCCTTTTTCTTTTTGCTCCCATCGGACTCCATACCGTCTTCACCCAGACAGAACGTATGCTCATTATCGCTGTACTTTGACTGCAATGTGTGCCAAATACAGATTTTATGACTGTACGTTCGATTCGGGTGACGACGGTCATCATGTTTCGCACAGCTCAACATCAAGGTACTGAAAATAAAAAGGGCAAATTGCCAAATTTTGATTCTGCCCCCCAACAGAGTAGGAAGTTCTATCACCAGTCCTCTTCTTATAGCTGCTGCAGGAACCGTATAGTCATCGCATCGTAAGAAGAGTTGTGAGAACTTGTGACATGCACCGGACAACCGTGAACCTGATGGTCCACCCACACCAAAAGTTGCACGGCTCGGGAGTTTCGATCTACTTAAAAATACAAGTAACTTGAAGTAAGATAAAAAATAAGAGTAATGTCAAGAAAAAGGACCTTGCCAGATTCATATCCGACATATTGCCATCTTGTGCAGTAGGTCATACTCTATTGTTTCCACTGTCTTCCCTCCATTTCAACCTCCTTCATTCCTTTCTTCCTCTTTCATTTCTTCCTTTTCCTCTTCTACCTCCTCCTCTTGTTCTTCTTCTCCTCCTCCTTCCTCCTGTCTCTTATACACATCTAGATGTGTATAAGAGACAGGTGTGTGTGTGTGTGTGTGTGAAGAAGAAGAAGAAAAAAGAGGGAGGAGAAGAAGAAGAAGAATAGTGGCTATCACTTGAGAACGTGATATTCTTTTCGAAAGGGCAATCATGTAAAAAAAAACAAGGGATTTTTTTTCATATACCCTTGAAAATTTGAT